TGATCACTCGATCGTTGGGTATCTACGTGTTTGGGCCTTCGGCTTCTACACAAGCTGAGCTTGACGAACGTTCGTAGTACAACAAATTCCTATGGATATGTACCGCGCTTGACTGTGCGCTCAAAGAGGAAGCGCTCCTGTGCCCGCGATGCCGACGATTTCTGTGTTGCTCGCCCCTGGCGAAATTGCTGCAGATGACGAAGATCGCTTTGAGTGATGGGTGCAGCGGCACCGGAAACTTTTCTAGCTGTCTAACTTACAGCGGAGCCATAACGAGGTGGACGAGCGCGTGGAACGCCATCTTAAATCTGTGTTTGCCAAACCCAAGGCGCAACACCGACTTCCTTCGTATTGTCGCCCTGAGACGTATGGATTTATCCATCACGCTCCCGCGAGCTCTGTGGTATCTAACACAGGTGAATTTACGATCGCAACAGCTCAGGACCATAGCTCAGCTCATGACCCTTCGGTTTCCCCGGCTGTTGCCGAGATGCGCGAGGCGTACGACGTCGCGGAGCGTCATGATTTTATTGACCATAAGCCTCTACGACGTCTGGGCAGTCTTGCCAAAGTGGTTTCTCAGACTCCCACGAGTTCTCGGATTCGGCGTATCCCCGCCACCTCACAAGATATTGAATTTCACCCTCGACCCACAAGACTTTCCACTCGTCAAAAAGAGTCGGCGGCAGACGATGACGACTTGGTCAATCGACGTCCGGTGACTCGCGATGCTCTTCAACATCGTGAGGACAAGGTCCGTCGCGATCGGGACTTTACTGAGCATCATTCTGGGGTCGCATACCCTTGTGCGGAAGACCCCGAGAGGTTGGAATATTTTTTGCACCGAATACCTCACTTTGAGGACTATCGCGCTCCGTCGCCTCCTAGCCGTCGAGTAAACGAATGTTTCTATTCGTGCGACGATGAAGCTAAGCTTTTTGAGTTGATAGCTTTCACCCTCCGCTGACTCTGGCACAGAGGACCCTTTCTTAGCTCCTAGCACCGTTGGAGATGAAGTTCGTTGCTTTTCGTGCTCAAAACCAGTTCTCTGGGCGGTCGAGTGTCTGTGGGCGCCACTCCAGTGCCAACGCTTCCGCGTTTTTTTGCGCCGGATCCCGATACAGTTTGGCAAGCCCACATAAAACACTGGGTGGGTGCGCATCCTTATCAGAGGGTTTAGCGGATACGCAAGGCCTCGCTTGACCACGACCTTGTAAGTTTCTATGAACCGAGAACGGGATTTCGTCTTCAAGACAGCAGAAACTGCATGTGTAGGAAAACTTTTTGCACTTAATAAAACCAGGTCTCCGACCTCAAACTTTTCAACATTTCGTCTGCTTCTTCCGTCTGCATATTCTTTCTACGTGTCTTGGCTTTCAACCATCGCATCGCAAACGTGCCGTATAATACTCAGTCAGGTAGACAGAGATTCATCGACGTCTTAACGCACAGTGAGGGAAATGACATCAGCTAGCTGCTCGGCTATTTCTCCCCCACCAAGCCCTGAGCCAGGGGATGGCGGCGTCAGCGGGTATGTTCACGTAGAACGGCGTGCAGCCGATAGACGCATGCACTGCATTGATCAGAGCGAACCCCATGAGTGGCAGCATGGCGCTTCAGCACCTCAGCGTCTCAGCGCAGACGCTACGACGGGGATCTTCAACGACGCGATTCATGCGCTCAGTTTGGCCATCGGACTGAGGATGGTCCGCTGTTGACATAGTATACTCGGCGCTCAGCACCCTGGAGATTGTCGACCAAACCTATCCAGTGTAGAGTGGGTATCTGTCAGAGACAATTGACTCCGAGGGTCCGTGTTGTCGAACGACACGATCCGCAAACAGCGTCACTTTACCGACACCGTCGATGGTGTCTGGCACCACCGCAAGATGAGCCATCGTACTCAAA